GGTTGGAGGCCGTCGCTAGTAGGTGGTAGGTAGTATGCACAAGCAAAACAAAAGTGACAGCGAGCAGCAAGGTTGGAGGTCGTCGCTAGTGGTTTGGAGGCCATAGTGCCAGGTTGGAGGCCAGTGCTGCAAGTTTACAAGAAACACAAGAAACACAAGACGAGGCCAATGCTAGTGGGTGGAGGCCAAAGAATTCAGGTTGAAGGACCACATTACAAGTTTGGAGGCCTCCCTGGAAACCTATAGGGTAGAAGAGAGGAAAAAACAGAAGGAAGGCACCGACGTACCATTTCCTTCTGTTTTCCTAAATAGTGGAGCAGGTACGTGGAAATGGCATCCCATTTCCATATCCTCAGATACATCGCCAGCTTCATTGACCAGGCGACGATGTATCTGGCCTGGTCCCCTGCTGTAAAGGGTAACACTCCAAAAGGAGCCTTGTGACTCCAAAGGTTACACACACACACACACGCGCACATGCACACACACACATAATATATATATATATATATTCAGGGAGTGTTGTGTCGCGCAAATTTAACAAACTAATAAGGTATCCCAAGTAGTTGTATAATCAAACGATTTCTCCTGGCAAACCTGCAAACAGCCAACAAACAACCAACACCAAACAAGCCAAAGCAAACCACACCCAACCAACCAACCCACCCACCGACCGACCAACCAACCCAGCCTCTGCAGGAGGGAAAGGGAAGACACCAATCTGGGAACTGACACCATGCACTCCGGGAACCCAAACACATTCAGGAAGCCAAAAACAGATGCAAAAAGAACACAAAGGAGGGGACAATTAGAATCGAACTGGAAACACCACACCCATTCGATTCTTCGGGCCCTTTCGAGACAAATGAAGAATGGGCAAGCCTAGCGCGCCTAGCAGTTGCCACTTGCACCACCGTAAGTCATGCAATTGTTCAAAGAAGTGTTGCAGAAGTTCAGGAGCTCTTCGGCCAAACCCTAAGACCACACATATACAGTACCTCTTTTTGTAAGCTTTGCTAGCTACCTCACGCATCCTGCCTGACCTGTTGCAGTATATATCTGGCCCTTTGCTCTATTCTACTCGGCTTACGCTTGTCTCTCTTTTGCCAACTGATTCCGAGTCTAGTCAGTCTCAGACTATTTAAAGTAGATTGGCACAAAGGAGTGGGTTTGGTTGCGGACTGGAATGCAGCAGGATAGAGTGGAGGGAGGCAAACTGGCAAGAGTTGTCTATCATACCTTCCACTGCCCGTTCCGTTCTAGTCTGTCTTCAAAAATGCACGTCAGTCTGTAGCAAAAGAAGTCTACAGTAGAGTGGATGAAGGGTATCAAGTTTAATACTGTACCTCATTCTGTTGTATTCCCTCTAGTCTTTTGCATGAGCGTAGAAAAGGAAATCAACACCATCGAATCTACTCGAAACCGCGGCTACTTTAATTTAACACCAGATGAATCATGTCTGTTCAATTGTCTCATCTTCTCTTCCCCATCGCCCCGTAGCCCAAACCCTCCATTCAGCTCGACTCGTCCCTCGTCTACCTTACCTCCCTATCACTGTCATTCGGTTCACTGAATGAAAGAATAAGAAAATCAAACAGCATGCATCAGAACTCTACGGTGGTATAGAACGGAGTGTTAAGCTGAGGGCACGGCATGGCGAGTAGCAGTACGCAAAGGTTGTCAAACGACATGGGCATTTCGAATCCCTTTACTCTACCTTACTTGGCTCCATCCTTGGATCTGCTGTTTGTATTGCGATGTGCCTCCTTATATGAAGACACCGACCTAGAAAAAACCAGGGCAATGTGGACTAGAAAGACTATCCAGGTGTAGGGTAGCGTGCAGTTCAGCAGAAAGGCTACAAACATAATGCAGAATTGAAACCTACTTGGGTAGGTAAGCGGTGTGATGCGGGCTCACTGGTGTCAAGACCGGATTACTGATTACTATCCCAAGGAAGGTCCAGAAGTTCCTTCAAATTCCTGCACCTATCCAAAAAAAATAGACTGAGTGAATCCATCAAGAGTCTGTCTGCCCGTCTCTGCAGCTCAATTAAGTTAGAGTGTGGGGGTAATGTAGACTGGTTAGAGTTGTCTACCATACCCCACTCCACGCTATCATTTGCATTGAATAGAGTACTGTAGAGTAGTTTTGGATAGCGGCTAATTGGATCGGATGAAGGCAGTGTACTATGAACCTGTCAACTCTACTACCTCATTATGTTGTATCCAGTCTAGTCTTTGTCATGCACCTTGATTCACCATGCAGGCAAAGAGTAGAGTAAGGCAAAGCGGCGTTAGTAGTACTGTACAACAAGCTCTCCACAGCGTGGACTAGCTCCCCCAAAGATTTAGAGGCCCGTGAAGTTGCATGAAAAATGCACGAAGGAAGAATAACACCTGGCATGCCCAAATCTTGCTTGCGCTCCTCTTGCTTCTCTAGGGATAAATAAGGCACGTCGCCTGGGAAGGGGCAGAAAGGATGAGATGAGTCAAACCCATGCGCTTGTTTTTTGCTCTTGCCTGTCTTTGGCTAGAAAAGATGGGGTGGAAAAAGGAGTGGACGGAAAAGAGCATACTGGACAAGGGGGGTTTGAAGGAAGAGGAAAGTCACCACAGGAAAGGACAAGAGAAAAGGGCAACGTGCAAGGAAAGCAATGCAAGGCAAACAGGGCATCTTCCACTCTGGTGCTTGGCCATCCCACTGTGTCACAATTCGGAAAATCCATCCATCTCCTCTTCAATATGTTTTTATGTATTTTTTGTCCATGCTTGAACGAGAATTGAGTGGAGAAGCTAGGGATAAGAATTTAAAGGAATGGAGGCAGAATGATTGTGGAGCGGAACCACCGAAAGAAGGTGGGGGCAATATCTTCTTGGAGCAATTGGGGATCAAACACACAAAAACGGAGGAATGATAGCAACCACTTCTGGGAGTTTGGAGAGAATGGATTTGTTCAACTAATGCTGGAGACTCAGTCTTAAAAAAAAGAACACATGTCCGTGTCTGGCATAGTTTTTGCGTGCTTTTGGTTTATGTATGTGTCCGTGTCTGGCATAGTTTTTGCGTGCTTTTGGTGTATGTATGTACAGCCTTGAGTGGGTTTTGAGCACAAAATGATGCACCCACGCTTACATTGCACACACACATATGTATATTTATATATGTATATATCCCACACACACATACCCACATAAATATACATATATGTACAATGGTAATATATAGATTATAAATGTTTTGCGTTCAAGCTCCTCTGAACGGCAACGCATGAGCTCCGCCCACATTGCGTGGGACACCTCTACCACAAAGCCTCGACAAACGAGTTGCTGTGGATTCCCTTTAAACAGGATGGTCATTGAACGAGAGCTGTTGAAGAGCGAGTTTGGGTGACATTGTATAAGATTGTATGAGTAAAACACGATGATGACCAAAAGAACATTGGGATCGAGGTGGTGAAATATCCAAACTGGGAAGGGTTTAGTGGAAGTGTGCAAGTGTCCAAACCATCCTTCATTGCCCACAGGCAGGGTGAGATGTAACTTGCCTTCCATCACGTCCAGCAGCTCTTGCGCCTGATGAAGCCGCTTCAGATTGCATGACATGAACTGCAGGCCTTGTGGGGTGCGTCTTGTGAAATTTTCGCAGTGGATTCTTGATGTCATGCCTTTCTCAGCTTATTGCTCCAGTCATATTGCACAATCTCCCAGCATAGCCACTAAATTTTGATAAAATCATCCACAAACATCACAAAGGCAACTCTATACTATATTCTAGGTAAGTGCGGTGCCCCCTGCAAGCCCAAGCGGCTTTACCAATTGATTTGGGCCATCCAGAGATGTGAATGGCTTGCCAATGCTCGTCCTAGCCGCTGAACAAACGGTCTTTTATTCTTGTTCAGGTTGATTCAGAGCCAGGACTTCGCCACGCAACTGACTATACAACTGCAGTACAGCAAATGCAGGGATGGCAATGGTCATTGCATGTATATAATTGACGCTGGCCTAATACTCTCAAAACGAACATGCCAAGTCCAGCAAAAGTTGAGCTCCACTCTGCTGTTCGACTGCGCGCAAACGTTGCTTGCCTTGAAGGCAGGTCGATCATGGTCATACAGCTGCACTTGCAACTATTTTCTCTGGAGGTTTTGCATCCTGCAGTACTAGGAGCACGAAGCTACTAGGGGCTCCTGGCATCGCTACTAGGAGCAAGGACGCTA